TTCGATGCAACCTCTGTCCACAAACCCTCGAGTACGACATTCCCAGCCTTCCTTTTTCATTTAGTCTGGTGACAAACAAGTGTCACCTATTCGAAGACTCACGAGTACAACTCGATTTTCCGAAGATCCTCTTTCTTTTAATCATATCAGCTCGGAATGCAAACTACTTCACTTATTCAATATACATATATACCAAACTCTTATAGGTACTGGAAAGTCCGTCCTCATTAATCAACACCTTATCTCGATGCCCAAGGAGATCTACATCCCAAACACTCTGAACTTTTCCGCACGGACCTCGGCCAACTTGACTCAAGATATTATCATGTCCCGGCTGGATCGTCGTCGAAAGGGTGTATTCGGACCGGCGCCGGGCAAGCAGTGCATCGTTTTTGTCGACGACCTGAACATGCCGGCAAAAGAGGTTTACGGCGCTCAGCCGCCGATTGAACTGCTGCGCATGTGGATCGACCACGGCTATTGGTTTGATGTCAAAGATAATACAAAGCAAAATCTGATTGATGTGGTGAGTCGTGTTTTCTCTTTGGCCAGAGCCTTTAGTATACTACACGAGGGATTATCGTGGGTGGTTATGTTATTAGGGAAAACCCCCTGTCACTAATTTCTTCAGGTGCTGTTCCACTTGTGGGAAGAGATGGTGAGATACCAGAGTGGTCGAAACAGTTTATTCTGTACAGAAGGAGTGGGAGAATAGGTAGGAGGAATTTGACACTCAGATGGGCATGCGTCCGACCTTGAGGGCCGTCCTCTTAGGTGCGTGTGAGCGTGGGGTGATCAACGCTGCTTTTTTGTGAGACTGCCTCGGGAGATGATTAGCCAGACCAGACCAGACTGGGGTAGGCTCATATATATATATATGCGCTCTGAGGCGTGAGGCCAAAAGTCAAGAGTTGGTGTGTGCGTGTTTTGGAGAGGAGGTAGGAAGGACTACAGCCACTACAGATTTGTTCATTGGCCTGGCTGCTGGCTACTTGGTGCATAAATGACTGCTTTACAGTGGAACGGTCTTTGAGGATAGTCTGATGAATAAGCAGTCACGGACCAGCTGTGAGGGTGCTGTCTGAGCTTGAAGGACGGAATACTAGCACGCCACCTGCCTAATAAAATATTGTAAAGCTTAATGTCAAGACAACCCGGGCCCTTACACATGTGATTATATTACTTGCAACAATGAGTAGCCGTTCGTGTTTATTTTTCAGAACTAAACGGCGTCTGTCAAGGGAAATTG